TGTCTTCTAGATTCTGTGCAGAAAGTTGCTTAAGCTTGCTAAGCAGGAAATTTTTGTCCTGTCCTCTTGGTTATATAACTGGAATGTTCTGGTGAAATCTCTATATATGTCTGAAAAACAGGCAAATATACCACAACTGTTTAAGATTTAGGAGCTAGATAAACAATTCTAAACACAGTAACCAAAGTTAAGTTTCTTTCGTGAAGGTTTTCTGTCCTAGAAACCTCCATGGCTCAAATTACCATTATTTTGTTTCAAGGAAAGTTAACTATAAAACACAACTCTTACATTTATATAAGATAGTATGAACACTGAATATCATATATATTCCTAAAAAAGAGGAACATAATTGCTACCTATAGTTCCAACATGGGACAGATACATGCTGCTTTCTGCCCTAGTCCTTGAGAGGCAAGGAAAATTACTTTGATTCAGGAAACCCGCTTGGGCAACAGCAACAACAAATAAGTGGCATATATTTAACACTAAACATGTGCTTTAAGAAGTCTATGTTGCACACCAGTAGCTCAAGTCTGTAATCCTGGCTACTCAAGAGCCTAAGACCTGAAAGAAGAAAATCTATCAAACTTAGCCACGCATAGTGGCTCAGCAGGCCTGTAGTTCTAGCTACATGGGAAAGCAGGATTAGGAGATCTTGGTTTGAGGCCAGCTCAAGCAAAAAGTTCATGGCACATACCTGTTATTCTGGCTACTAGGGAAGCACAATGGCTCCATGCTGTGGTGCCCACCTGTCATCTCCAGTGACGTGTGGAAACACAAGTATAATCATGGCCCAGGTATAAAGCAAAACTCAGAAAATAACTAGTGCACAAAGACACTGAAGGCATATTCACTTAGTTTTCACCAAACATGTTTTTAATATGATTAAATTTGAGTCACTTAGAGTTAGTATTCTGTAGTTTACAAAATAAAAAATTGTGAGAAATTGTCATCTCTCAAAAGCTATTTTATGTATGCTTTTATATTTGCAGATGTGAAACAAGCGTTAATCCAGTGGCAGGAACGAATTGAATTTGCCCATAAACTGTTAACTCTTCTTAATTCCTATAGCCCCCCAGAGCTAAGAAATGCCTGTATAGGTAAGTTATTTGAAATAACCACATGTGCAAAAACCCAGAAATTATTTCTGTGAGGTTTGTGTTTTCGAAAAGTGATAGTATTCCTATGGGGTTTGGAATACATGTATACTTTTATGTGTAGTTCACATTGGCAGGTCTTAAGAAAATTAATTTTTTTTTCACCTATCAGTAATTACTCATGTGGTTACTCAATATATTTGAGCTCTTTGACCTTTACTGACCTAATTTGTAGCTCTGAAATCCTCTTGATTCTATAAAAGCAAAGCTGAATCATATAGATATATACAGGATGATGTCTCTATGTTGTTGTTAACAATTGGATTGTTAACCTGCCAGAAAGTGTTGACATCACTCTGAAGGGATGCATAGTGATTGTTCCATTGGCTATTCCAGAGGAACCCTCCTGAGGTCTTGAACCATATCAGTGTAGAACTCAGTCTCCTTGGTAAGAAAAAGAAGTGGATCTGGGGTGACAAATAGTGGTAAATAGGAACTAGAATCTTACAGAACATGATAGTGTTACTGGGCTTCTGTGTATAGTTACTTCCCCATCATCATTGTTATTCTGGAGGGGGTCTCTACTTGAAATCTGAAACTCCCTGCATGAAAATACATCCAAAGAGTTTAGATGAGGACAAGTGTTGCTTGTTCAAATCTCAAGCCCAGAATAATGAGTTAATCCTTAAAATAAATGCAGTGAACCTGTTTCAGATTCAGCTGCTTTGATTCAGCAAGTAACAACAGTTAAAATTTTGGATAGTGTCTATGTTTCAGTAAAGGGAACCGTTCCAACAGGCTAGTGAGTAAGAATTAAGTTAATCCAGCTAAAGAATTGCCATCTGGGATTCTGATACTAATTTTTTTGTGGAAAAGACAGTTTGCAAAGGTTGCTATACTACAATTTCATCAAGACTTAGAAGTTTGAAAATAACAGGTAGCTTTAAATCCAGTACTTTAATACTCAGTTGTGTTTTAATTTTCAGATGTCCTCAAGGAACTTGTGCTTTTGAGTCCCCATGATTTTCTTCATACTCTGGTTCCATTTCTACAACACAACCATTGTACTTACCATCACAGTAACATACCAAGTACGTATTCATCTAGCACAATATTTTGAACATGGTTGGCAATTAATCATTCTGCACACTGAATCTTGGAGATTTATTTTTCCATTTATTCTTATTGTATACTTTTAATGTCTTAGTGTCTCTTGGACCTTATTTCCCTTGTCGAGAAAATATCAAGCTAATAGGAGGGAAAAGCAATATTCGGCCTCCGCGCCCTGAACTCAATATGTGCCTCTTGCCCACAATGGTGGAAACCAGTAAGGTATGTTGGGATGCCAGGAAAGTCATGTTTCTATAGTAGAATAATTTGAAATTTCCCCCTGGCAGTTATGAGTACATTAGACTTAAGTGATCATTTTGTGGATCCTAAGAATGGACTCATTGGACTTTTTCCATTCAGTGCTCTGAAATACTGGTTAAATATTTACAAAATCAACAATAAGCATAAGGAATAAGTTTTCCTTCCCCTGAAAAAAAATAGCTTAATAGTAAGCCTTAGTGTTTGTCACTAGACTAAATTATAACTGGGTCATATATCTAAATCTGAAAAGTTAAGTTAGGTACTTAACTATTTTTTAAATTTCACCATATAATCAAGACCTCTTTTATTGCCCTTAAATCACATTCTTCTTGACCTATGCATAATATCACTGATTGTTTTATCATCATTTTAGTCTGTCCGCTAATGCTTATTCTAAAATAATGCCAATTCTAAATTATAGAAACAAGATACATTGACAAAGGGTTTTTCTGGGTTTTTTTTTTTTAACAATTTTTCCCTTTGTATTTCTTCACTCACACTTCATTCACGTTCTCTCTCCATCTTTGGATCTTAAGTATACTTGAGAGATTCTCATAAGATAAAATATTTAAAATGAAGCCAGGCGCTGGTGGCTCACGCCTGTAATCCTGCTACTCAGGAGGCTGAGATCTGAGGATCGCAGTTCAAAGCCAGCCCGGGCAGGAGAGACCGTGAGACTCCTATCTCCAATAAACCACCAGATAACCGGAAGTGGCGCTGTAGCTCAACTGGTAGAGTGCTCGCCTTGAGCTGAAGAGCTGAGGGACAGCGCCCAGGCCCAGAGTTCAAGCCCCATGACCGACAAAAAAAAAATTTTAAATGATTCTATACTCTTACACAAATAACTTCACATTTATTTCAAAAGTCATATTCTTTTTGATATGTCTATAGAACCAAAGTGTCACATGTTAAAATCCTACAGTAATTTTATTCTATCAAAGTATATAGAAATAATGGGTCATTTTAATAGCATTTGCACATTGAAAATAAACTTATGACAATTAAGATCTTAATAACATTACTAATTTAGAATTTAAAACTAGATTCTTATAGAATTTAAATATTTAATCATTTTTAGTTAAACTTATTACATTTGCACAAAATATGCTCTTTAATTTATTATGCAATTTAAGTGCAACCATTTTATCATCTTTAACCTTCAGGGCAAAGATGACGTTTATGATCGTATGCTGCTAGACTACTTCTTTTCTTATCATCAGTTCATCCATCTATTATGCCGAGTTGCAATCAACTGTGAAAAATTTACTGAAACATTAGTTAAGCTGAGTAAGTATAAAAGATGAGCAGTAAATTCCACTGAATTATTTGAAGACCCTAGCCATTCAGGAAGGGGAAAAAAATATATGAGACAATACTTTTTTTATTTTTTAAAGTGAATGTTTAAAAATATTAGTTCGTATTCTTGGGAACATTTAATTTTTATTAAGAAAACACCAACTTACTGGTTTCCATTGACTATTCCTGCCCAGAGTTTCAGCTGGCCTATAAAAGGAGTGTGGAATAGGGCTGATCCCATTTGCACATAGAAGCCCATGTCCACCATCTGCCCAGCAGAACTGTAAAATAAAACAAACAGAAAACTGCTCTGCTTAGGGAGACAGGCTTAGAGATGGACTTCCCCAGCCATGACCTTGAGGGTAAGATGAGCTCTATAGTGCCAGCTGTGCTTTGGAGCTGGCAGTGCCAGTAGCAAGCAAGTGGGCTCACCAGTGTGAAGCAGAGGTGCATATGTGAGTAATTAGGAGGTAAGTCTTCTAAAATAGGTGAGTGAGAAGAAGAGAAATTTGGAAGGGGAAATGTAGGAAAAAGAAAACCCTTCAGTGAATTTTCCAAGGATGTGCCTGAGGTACTATCAAGAGAACTGTTCCTAATGGGTGACTTTACACTACCTAGTACGTCTTTAGAAGGGACATTCCTCCCCCCCACCCCCGCAGTGTCCCTTAATCCACGCAACTTCCAAGTTCTGAGACTCTATGTTCTACCTTCTCACTTCATCAGGGATGGCCCAGGAGCCTAGCTACTCTCTGTAGTTTGGTTTTAAAGGGTAGGAAGTAACATACTCATGAAACTACTACATAGGTCAAGAAATAGAATAGTATTATACCCTAGAACTCCTCCTTGTACTCCATCTCAATCCCAGTTCCTTCTATGGGAAAGATTTTGATCCATTCCTGATAGAGTAAAGTAGATTTCATTATCCAAGAGGAAGGCAGTGGTTAATAGCTATCAGGGAAAACATCTTCAAGAACTATCTTATTGGTAAGTGATTAGAGCAAATTCAAATTTGAAAACTGTTCCTCCCACCTGTTATCATTAGCAAAGTATGCATATATAGTATATGGCTAAAATGCCAGGACAGGGGGATTAAAAATATCCTCAGATTTGCTGTTCCAGGAAACAGCAAATGCATCTCGGTTGTGCACTTGGCAAAACCTAAAACCTAGCAGTAACAATACTCGGGTATGAGATGACATTCAGGAGTTCCGGTAGGTAGTACAGACTTGCTGGTAATTGTGTTCACATAATTTATGCCAAAAGTTAATGGGAGGATATTTTAATCTTATTTGAACAGCTTTGATCAGGTAATTCATGTTCTTCCTTTTTGTGAACAAGGGTAATTAAACATGGAGGGGAGAAGCAGAACATAACACCTATCACACCGAATTAACTTTCATATTTTGTACTAAAATTACTTTTGTAATCTTGTAGCAGTACTGACTCTATTCTCTGTATCAACACTATCTCTCACTGCACCACTACCACAGTATGTGAATGTTGCCATCTGTGAGTGCTGAGAACATGAAATATAATTAAGGAACTATATGTAAATAACTAAATGTGGTGGGTGGTTTAGCACTAGATATAAACCAAGCCATACTACCTCAGATGTGAAGTTAGAAAATAACCTAAAAGCAATGCGGTCCTTTCTACTTTCCCAAACATGGAAAGATTATGTCCCAGAGTTTGACATTAACTCCCTCCTGGAACTAAAATGACTATTTCCAAGGGGAGACATCTAGTAAGGGTCTTGAAAAAAAATAAAGCCTACATTAATACACTGCAGTGGTGAGCAGAGAATTGATAAGAATTTTTGTTTTTGTTCTTCTTTAAATAGTTGTACAAAGGGGTTACAATTCCAGGTGTCAGGTTATGAGTATAATGCTTCTTGGACAATGTCACTCTTTTCTTCATTTTCTCTCTCCTATCCCCACCCACAAGTGTTTTTTGTTTGTTTTATGCCAGTGCTAGGGCTTGAACTCTGGGCCTGGACACTATTCCTGAGCTTTTTAGCTCAAGCTTTGCACCATACCACTTGAGCAGCAGCTTGTGTTATGGCTTTTTGGTGGTAGATTAGTCTCAGATTTTTTTTTTTTAATCAGGTTAGCTTCAAAGCACACAATCCTCAGATCTCAGCCTTCTGAATAGTTAGGATTGCAGGTGTGATCCATTGGCACCCAGTTATAGTTTTGATTTGTGTGATTTCTTCAAGAAAAAGGATAAATTTAAATTGGCTACTTCCTTATGCTTTTGAATCTTGCTTGAATTAATTAATTCAAAGATGAGGTTATTCAAATACTTTAATTATATTGGAACCTATGTTTATAGTTTCTACTTACGAAAAAAATTCTTTATGGTTTTTTTGTTTTGTTTTGTTTTTTGGGGGGGTCCGGTCATGGGGCCTGAACTCTGGGCTTGAGCACTGTCCCTAAGCTCTTCAGCTCAAGGCTAGTGCTCTACCACTTGAGCCACAGCGCCACTTCCGGCTTTTTTCTTTTTGCTTATGTGGTGCTGAGGAATCGAACCCAGGGCCTCGAGCATGCAAGGCAAGTGCTCTACCACTGAGCCACCTTCCCAGCCCTCTTTATGGTTTTTATATAGACAACCAAGCCTTTCAAGATTTATTAGGCCAAGCACTGACATTTCTAATCTAACTACTCAAGGGGCTCAGATCTGAGGATCTTGGTTGCTAACCTGGGCAAGAAAGTCTGTGAGACCCTTACCTCTAACTAGCTAGTAAAAGCCAGAAGTACATGTGACTGAGGTTGTAAAGCACCAGCCTTGAGTGAAAAAAACTAAGTGAGTGTGAGGCCCTGAGTTCAAGTCTAGTACTGACATGCATACACACACACACACACATAGATTTATTAGAAGATAAAGGGAAATTATATAGTAATTATAGATTAGAATTCCAGAGGGCAACAGAGCTGTAGGTACTAAAGAGTAAACAAAAGGGAAAGGTAGAGTCCCTTAAAAAGAGGCCTG